AGGGTTTATATTTGAGGACAGCAAGAATTTACGATTGCTTGAAGAGGTCATAAAACGATTTTCTACATTTATATTTTACTCCTTTTAACTATGACAACATGCTTTCAATTTTTCGAATATCTAAATTTTTATTATTTTCGACTCAGAAATTTAAATATCGAACCGACTGCTAGCAGCCAGTTGGATATTGAATATCGAATAACGAACCGGCCGCTAACTTCACATACATTTCATCTTGTGTTATTTAATTCATTACACTGAATGTTCTGTTATTACTGTCTAATAATTAAATTTTGGATGTAACCTGTCTTCTGATTGGCTGAAAGTTTTTTGCATATCAGCTCATAGACATAATTTTGTTAAGTAACCTTGACGTTATCAACGTTTTTTTTCATGATTTACTCCTCAAAAATTGAATTTAGAATTAAATTATAAGCAATGACTGTAATATTTTTTTCTGTCTATTCGAAATAAGTCATTTCTTCATAGACAGAAAAAAACATTACAGTCATTCCTTAATTAAATTTCAAATTTAAAGTAATAAACCATACTAACCATCCGTATTTAATAAAAGAGGGACGAAAGATACCAGAGGGACAGTCAAACTCATAGATCGGAAACATTTTAAAGCGCACACTTGCGTCTCCGAAAAAGATAATAGAGTATTTGCCATGGGATAGAGTAGAATATCTCCATTGTATTAATCTGGCATGAAGTATAATGAACAGAACTATCCAATAATCATAGTATACAAGACACATTGTAATAATCATAGTATACAAGACACATTGTAATAATCATAGTATACAAGACACATTGTAATAATCATAGTATACAAGACACATTGTAATAATCACAGTATACAAGACACATTGTAATAATCATAGTATACAAGACACATTGTAATAATCATAGTATACAAGACACATTGTAATAATCATAGTATACAAGACACATTGTAATAATCATAGTATACAAGACACATTGTAATAATCATAGTATACAAGACACATTGTAATAATCATAGTATACAAGACACATTGTAATAATCATAGTATACAAGACACATTGTAATAATCATAGTATACAAGACACATTGTACCCTATGGTACATTGCTCTCCCAAGATTTTCGAAGATTTTCAATACGTCCACAACAGTTACCATGATGTTATTTATTTCAAATTCAAAATTGTATCCAGGTTGGTTTATGGCATATAAGAAGTAAAGAAAACTTAAATGCAAAACCAATAGCAGGAACTGTCAGGACATTATATACATCATGTACATGTATGATTATCTGTTAAAAACAATAATGACAATTGCTTTTTAATATTTGAAAATAATTGTAAAATTAAACATAATGAATAACGGTTTATATATACAGAAAGGTTTTTTCATCTATAACATATATTTTCAAGGATTGCTTCAAGACAAAAGACAAAACAATACAACGTATACATTTGGAACATTAACCATCCTCTCAATAACGAAATTTTATACATAAAACAGACAGTGTTTAACAATTATTTTACTTTAAGTATAAAAATATTAATGGAAAGAAAACAATGTAAAATGCCACACTTTTATTAATATTAGTGTTTCAAAAAAAACAAATAATTTAGAAAAATATTTTTAGAAAACAATTTACACAAAAAAAATAATATAGATATCAGTATTCCTATGTTAGATTATTGCGAATACAATTATAAAAACAGATAAAAATGCATAGTAATTAAAAAAATATATTAATTATAAACAAAAATATTATATAAAAGAGAGGCTAAAGATACCAAAGGGACATTTTTACTCATAAGTAGAAAATAAACCGACAAAGCCATGCCTTAAAAAAGAAAAGACCAACATACAAACTGTTACAACAGTACACAAAACACAACATAGAAAACTAAAGACTGAGCAACACGAACCCAACCAAAAAATAGGGTAGGTCTTAGGTGCTCTTGAAGGGTAAGCAGATTCTGCTCTACATGTAGCACCCGTATACCCATAGGAGACTATGACCCGTTCATAGTATCAAAGTCCATGTATAGTGAACCGAATCTGGCTAACAACCCTTACTGGTGTATATTTTCTTAATGTTTTCATCATAATGAACTTGTGTACTAAGTTTAAAGTTGATTTGATCACAACTTGATTGTAAGCTATATCTTAAACATAATTATTCACCAACTTAAAACCAAAACTGCTACCAAATACAGAACACAGGAACGGACTAACGGTAACACAATTGGATAAGTGAACATTTAGATATTAAACACTGCATTTTAACAATATAACATTGTTCATTTATAGATAAAACTTGCTCTGCTAATAGGAATTTTGGTCTAGAAAGTACCTAGATACGTTGGTACTGAAATAGCTCAAAAATTTGTGACGTAGGTTTAAAAAAGTTTCGCTTAATACGGACACGCTTGAAGAACTACATAAAACCCATGCGTAAACGTACATGTTGGATTTGACCAACCTGCGCGAAATCTTTTATTTGAAGTAATATAACATGCAATGTCATACGAGCTGACGGATTTAACACAACGAACATATGGTAGTAAATTACTCTAAAAGCTGATTTCTGATTTCTGGACAGACGGGTGTTAAAACTGTATTGGTCAACAACTTAGTTAGGTAGCTATCATATTGTGTTAACAAGAAAGAATACATCTATATGTATTTTCCTCCTGTACTAGTAACTGAATTAATCAAGTCTAAATAGTTTCCGCATACAAAACAGAGTTTTCCAAAGAAGACACAATTCTAGTCTCATTCTCAAAAAGACTTCTAACAGCTTTGATATATTCTTAACGAACTGTTTGAAAAAGACAGGTCACGTGATAAAGTTCTAAAATATATGCCAAATAAGGGTTGACTTATATTTTGCAGTTCACTGAACAAAGAATTGAATAGTTTAAGCGTGGAGATGGTGCCCTTAAGACTATAACCTTGTTTATACTGCAATCAGCAAACAAGTGTACAAATAACAGGCATTGTTTTTATAGTGTGTTGTTTATCCCCTGTCCGAGGTTAGGGGAGAGGGTTGATCGTTCACAAACATCTGTAACCTCGCGACATTATATATATGCCTGTCCCATGACAGGACCTTGTCATTTAGTGTCTGTCATTATTTTTTGTTTTCTTATTTTTTTCACTATTATTTTTTTATATGCAGTTTGATTCTTGCTTTCAAGTTAAGTATTCTGTTTACCTGGGGTTTTTTTCCGGTCATTCGAGATTTAATTAAAATTGAAATATTCGGATATTAAAACTGAACGTTTTAAATAAAGTGCACACATTTAATACATATTTAATTAGAGGATTAATTCAATATTCGTAAATTGTTGGTATATATCAATCGAAACTTTAGACTAGTTCCCTGTCCTTTATCTGTTTGGGTCGGAAACCCGTATGTTGCAAGGGAGAAAACTTGCCTATCGGTACTTATAATGTCGCTAAAAATGAGAGTTAAATAAAGATGTTTCACAACGGTTCACAAATATAGAGGAAAAAAATAGACAGAGACCATAAATCACGGTCAAGATAAAATTCATTTCTTATTAACAGTCAGATTTTTTATCACGTGAAAATTAACGTGAATAACTCCCTTATCTTGATGAATATGATGAGTTTTCATATCCATAAATGGATCATCTGAGAGTGAGGAATCGGAAGATTGTCTGCAATTTAGTGATTCAATAGAATCCCTTTCATACGTAGCCCTCGCTCCACTCGCTCCTTTATCATTGGAACCAGCATGGTGGCATGTCGGGAGGGAGATCATACTGGTTGCTTGTACATTTAGGAGTGTTGTTGGATGAAAGTTGCCAGGATTATATCTTTTACCCTTACTATAACAGGTTTGTGCTTTTAAGTCTGGATCATTATTTGTAGACAATATGTTCCATGAAGAACTAAAAGCGTCTTCATATTCTGGTTCAGTTTCCGAAGAAGTATCACCATTGTCCTTGATGTTATCTTTTGTTTGGAAACCGTTACGTGGAATACTCTTCTGAGCAAGTTTTTGGTTCATTTCAGTGATCAGTTGGTCACGCTCTTTATTTCCTTTCCCATTTTGGTTATCATCTACAGATATGCCAGTAGTTGGTTTGTCGCATGACAAATTTGAATTGTCATACAGCTTTTTTGCCGTCCCTATAGCTGTGTCGTTCGTTCCGTTGTCATCTGCGAATTGTTTGTTAATATAACAACGTTCATGGGAATTCTACAAGTAAATAAAATGTTCAATATGATGAGCTCAAAATATAACTATAGAAAATTTTTATCATGGCAAGATAGATAAATTCCAGTACAATCCCAGCATGCGTTTCAATAATAAAAGTACACCATCTCCTCTTTAAGGTGGTACCCAACACCTTCACTAATATTAATTTGGCTCGTTTCATTTTCATAAAATTTTGACAAAATGTTTACTTTGACCCTTTGACAAAAATATAAAAATTTCAAAAAATTTGAACCAACCACTTTATCAGAAAAATTTCGTTAGTTATATAGCAGTTTGACAAATACTAATTTTGATCATTGAGAAGCTTAATATTTCCTTAACAATACAACGTGATTAAAACGTTTAGCTGATTTTTACAGAGTTATCTCCCTGTAGTGTTAGGTACCACGTTAACTAACTTTTTTTATTTTTTTATTATATCATGCAGCCTAGTTCATTGATTGAAAGTGTTCATACTATCATATTTTTATATCAATAAACCAGCGTCTAGGCCATCTATTCGGTTCAACCTAAATGCTTTTGTAATGGAATATCATATAGTTTACTAGTATATCACTTCAAAAACGTTGAGGAATGTAGATAGAAAAAATAGACACACATGCACACTGCTATCAATTGAAACGTTTTCATTTATAGCATATAACGTTACATTGTTAATTTGATTATACATGTATTTAAAGGGCGTTGAATCGTACGTTTCTAATTGAAAAAATATATAAAAGTTTTTTTTTATATACTTGCCCAAATCATTTGTTTTTGTAATTCTCCCTTCATATCATGAACGTCAACATAGTCATATTCAAAAGTTTTCTTCGACAGGTTCGAAGCGGTTTGCTGAAAAAAAAATGACTGTACTTTAATACACTACATACATGTGTACACTAATTGATGGCTTTCACTGAATATTATAGTTTTGAGGTAAATCAGGTAATTTTTTTTACAATCAACTTTAGAAAAAGGATATTTCAACTAAATTTCTGGTTTTTGAAGCTTTAAGTATCCTAAATGCTACTAAGACTGTACATGAAATATGCATACGATAGTTCAAATAAGAGTGCTTTCAGGATGTTCGCTACTCTGTTTTAAGATAACAAGCTTTTTAAAAGACTGTTATAGATGGATAGTATACAAATAAAGGAACTAAAAAAGCACAAAAAAATGAAGGGTCCGTGTTCTTGTTTTCGAGATATAAGCCATTGAAAATTTGGCGGGAAATAATTGAAGACCCATTGGTGGCCTTCGGCTGTTGTCTGCTCTTTGGTCGGGTTGTTGTCTCTTTGACATATTCCCCATTTCCATTCTCAATTTTATTCTCTAGATTTTTCGTACATTTAACATTGGCACCCTTTTTCTTTTAAAAAATACGAAAAAATAACAAGGATTTTATAGGATTTTCAAATATGGCTTTTAAAACTATATGTAATAAAATTATGAAAAGAAAAGTAGGGGTTAGCGGAGAAAATTTTGTAATGGCACTACATGGATAAAACCAAAGGATTCCAAATATCTGGCAAAATTTTAAAACAAGAGGAGCGAACATCCTTAAGATGGATCATTGGTATATATTTCCTCAGATAGCATTTTCTTATACTTTGCCAGAATGTAGATTTTCCCATGTTTTTTTTTCAAAAATATAATAAAAAGTATGGGTCACCGTGCTATATTTCAAGCTAAAGTCGTGCAACAATTGCCCAACTTTGCATAGATTGTCCATGAAAAAACACTTTTTTGTGAATAAAAAGAAATCTGTGAGATAGAATTTTGAAATGAAATATGATAAGATTGGTTTTAGAATATGCTTTAAGAGAATAAAAAGAAAAAGAAAAATGGTGTCATCGACCTTGTTTTCTTGCTACAAGTAAAAACTGAAAATTTCTCTATCATCCTATATTCAGTCTGAATATTGCAATAAATCACTTAATATATTTTTCTCTTTTCCAATAAACAGTTTAACAATTAATTGTCAATCTGCCTCAAAATTTTCTGATTTAAGCAAGAACTAGACTTATTGTGAACTTCTATTTTACAATCCAAGATGGCGGTATACAGTTATTCTACCTAAGACTGGCATTAGTTAAACCTATATTCTATTTAAAACCAGTATTTCTTTTTCAATCTTTAAAAAATATTTAACTATTAATGTTCTATAATATTTTAATCAGATTGCCTTAAAAATTTCATTTTGTATTTTATTTTAAAAGGAACTAAAAATTCTGATAGTTACAAATAATGAATTTTTGACAACTTTGGCAAATTATTTACATTTATCTAAGCATGTATAAAAAAGGCATTCTTTAACAAACAGAAATTATGTTACAATTATATAATATATTGAAATATATACTGTTACGATTCCCTAGAAGAATGAAAACATTGGGAAATATATTGAAATCATGAAGTGATGCTATTACTGTCGAGCATTACTGTCGTTCCGATTTTTCTTATTTACGACTTAATAATGTTTATTGTATGAAAATTAATTCCGTTTGGTTGAATTTTGTGAAAAGAAGTTAAATCTGCAATATAGAATCAGCATATCTACATGCCTTTAATAGCAGCATTTCGCTCTGAATAGCAGTTAGTTCAATTACATTGTATATTAAAAAAATAGTTTCGTTTCAAGTACTACTTAATATTCCAATTGGTGTAGGATTAAGATATTTACCCCGTGAAATAAATACAGGGGAATGGAGATCTATCTCTTCCGAATGTTTTACTTAAGCATCTGTTCTGATCCTATATGTAATAAAGCACATATATCAAGTTCAGTAGTTTACAGATACCAGTCTTGCAAAGATATTTCTTGCGCCTTTTCGACTCAGGAAATGTTACTTTTTTATCGACTGGTATTTGTCGCTAACAAGCTTCCTGTTAATGATATATATGTTAAATATATAAACTAAAGTTAATTAAAGAGGTAATATGTAAGGAGGCTAGTTGTACCATGCATATGGTAGGTGGTGCTACTTTAGAAAAAAATATGCTGGCTTCAGTCTTAGGGAGCTAGGGCCGAATAGAGTGAAAAATAAAAAGGCAGGACAGAGATAACAACTAAAATAAACAAATGCAGGACAAAATCTTTCATCCTGCACCCCCATCCCCATAAACATCAAATGGTAGCTGCCTTAGTTGAAGAAAAATTACACAATCATTATATAAACATTTTTACTATTTCATGCAAATAGTTATTCAAGTGTAGTATATAAATTGTCGATGAATAGTTAAGATATCAGTTAGTTATAACATAATAAGTCAATATTTTCTTACATTAATATCTACCTGTTTTTTTCGACCATCGCTATGACAACTTATATTACATGATTCGGCATAAGCGTAGGGGGATGCCGGAAGTCTTTTTTCCCTCTGAAATAAAAGGATAAGTCTATCAGTTTTTTTTTTCAGAAAACTATGTATATTATATTTTCAACTGGTAAAAAATACTGGGAATGAATAATTTACTAGTTCGATGACATTGCGATCAACTGATTAACATGTACTAGCAAAATATTCAAGGGAGACATAAACAATTCTATTTTGTTTTTCAATTGAAAAAAGCCCGTCCCACAGAACTGTAAACTAACATTAAATGAAGCTAGCAATCATACACTAGGAAGAAACAAAATCGACGAATTAATCAAAAACACAAAATAATAGACATTGGTAAACTAACGACACTCCTCAATGAATACATACAGTTACGGTACTGTAAGAACACCAACACCGCAATGATATAGGACACCCTGACCGCAGTAACAGTAGACAGATACATCGCAATAACATAAGACACCCTCACTACAATAACATTAGACACCATACTACAATAACATAGGACACCCTCACTGCAATAACAGTAGACACCATACTACAATAACATAGGACATCCACACCGTAATAACAGCAGAGACCCATACCGCAATGACAGAGGACACCTTACCAAAATAACAGTGCATATCAAAACAGCAATAACACATGCCAGCACCAACGCAATAACAGTGGACAACTTTACTGCATTAACAGTGCACATCAACACAGCAATAAAACAGGATAGCACCAACACAATAATAGTGGACACCCTTACCGCAATAACAGTGAGCAACATCTACGTAATAACACTGGACCGCAACAATGGAATGATAGTGGACACCCATTCCAGAATAACAGTGAACAGCAACACTACAATAACAGTGGACAGCAACACTGAATTTAAAGTGGACAGCAACACGACAGCAACACCGCATTTAAAGTGGACAGCAACACCGTAATAACAGTTGACAGCAATACCACAATAACAGTAAACAGCAACACTGAATTTAAAGTAGACAGCAACACCACAATAACAGTGGACAGCAACACCACAATAACAGTGGACAGCAACACTGAATTTAAAGTGGACAGCAACACCACAATAACAGTGGACAGCAGCACTGAATTTAAAGTGGACAGCAACACCACAATAACAGTGGACAGCAACACCACAATAACAGTGGACAGCAACACTGAATTTACAGTTGACAGCAACACCGCAATAACAGTTGACAGCAATACCAAAATAACAGTAAACAGCAACACCGCAATGACAGTGGACAGCAACACCGCAATCACAGTTGACACCAACACCAAAATAAAACTGGACAGCAGCACCGCAATATCAGTGGACAGCAACACCACAATAACAGTGGACAGCAACACTGAATTTACAGTGGACAGCAACACCGAAATAACAGTTGACAGCAATACCAAAATAACAGTAAACAGCAACACCGCAATAACAGTGGACAGCAACACCGCAATAACAGAGTACATCCTTACTGCAATAACAGTTGACACCAACACCGAAATAAAAGTGGACATCAGCACCGCAATGACAGTGGACAGCAACACCGCAATATCAGTGGACAGCAATACTGCAATAACAGTTGATAGCAACACTGCAATAACAGTGGATAGCAACACTACAATAACAGTGGACAGCAATACTACAATAACAGTGGACAGCAACACTGAATTTACAGTGGACAGCAACACCTCAATAACAGTTGACAGCAATACCACAATAACAGTAAACAGCAACACCGCAATAACAGTGGACAGCAACACCGCAATGACAGTGGACAGCAACATCACAATATCAGTGGCCAGCAACACTGCAATAACAGTGAATAGCAACACTGCAATAACAGTGGACAGCAACACCGCAATATCAGTGGACAGCAATACTGCAATAACAGTTGATAGCAACACTGCAATAACAGTGGATAGCAACACTACAAAAACAGTGGACAGCAACACTGAATTAACAGTGGACAGCAACACCGCAATAACAGTTGACAGCAATACCACAATAAAAGTAAAAAGCAACACCGCAATAACAGTGGACAGCAACACCGCAATAACAGTGGACAGCAACACCGCAATGACAGTTGACAGCAACACTGCAATAACAGTGAATAGCAACACTGCAATAACAGTGGACAACAACACCGAAATAACAGTGAATAGCAACAGTTGCAATAACAGTGGACAGCAACACCGAAATAACAGTGAACAACAACACCGAAATAACGGTGGATAGCAACAGTTGCAATAACAGTGGACATCAACACCGAAATAACAGTGGACATCAACACCGAAATAAACAGTGGATAGCAACAGTTACAATAACAGTGGATAGCAACAGTTGCAATAACAGTGGACAGCAACACTACAATAACAGTGTACATCACCAACCCAATAGCAAAGGACGCTCTTACCGTAATATCAGTGGACAGAAGCACCGCTATAATATGGGAAACCTATACCGCAATAACTGTTCACACCTTGACCGCAGTAACAATAGACACTCTTACCGCAATAGCAGTGGACAGCAACACTACATTAATAGAGGCTATCAAAACTGCAATAACAGTTGACGCCAATACAGCAATAAATGTGGACAACACCAACGTAATAACAGAGGACAACCTCAACGCAATGACAGTGCAAATAAACGCCGCAATAACAGAAGACTCCCTTAACGCAAAAACAGTGGACAGCAGCACCGCAATAACACAGGACATCCTTACCGCAATAATATTGGAAACTCATACCGGAATAACAGTTAACAGCAGCAACGCAATAACACAGGACATCCTTACCGCAATAATATGGGAAACTCATACCGCAATAACAGTTAACAGCAGCACCGCAATGACACAGGACATCCTTACCGCAATAATATGGGAAACTCATACCGCAATAACAGTTAACAGCAGCACCGCAATGACACAGGACATCCTTACCGCAATAATATGGGAAACTCATACCGCAATAACAGTTAACAGCAGCACCGCAATGACACAGGACATCCTTATCGCAATAATATGGGAAACTCATACCGCAATAACAGTTAACAGCGCCACCGCAATGACACAGGCATCCTTACCGCAATAATATGGGAAACTCATACCGCAATAACAGTTAACAGCAGCACCGCAATGACACAGGCATCCTTACCGCAATAATATGGGAAACTCATACCACAATAACAGTTAACAGCAGCACCGCAATAACACAGGCATCCTTTCCGCAATAATATGGGAAACTCATACCACAATAACAGTTAACAGCAGCACCGCAATAACACAGGCATCCTTACCGCAATAATATGGGAAACTCATACCGCAATAACAGTTAACAGCAGCACCGCAATGACACAGGACATCCTTACCGCAATAATATGGGAAACTCATACCGCAATAACAGTTAACAGCAGCACCGCAATGACACAGGCATCCTTACCGCAATAATATGGGAAACTCATACCACAATAACAGTTAACAGCAGCACCGCAATAACACAGGCATCCTTACCGCAATAATATGGGAAACTCATACCATAATAACAGTTAACAGCAGCACCGCAATAACACAGGCATCCTTACCGCAATAATATGGGAAACTCATACCACAATAACAGTTAACAGCAGCACCGCAATAACACAGGCATCCTTACCGCAGTAATATTGGAAACTCATACCGCAATAACAAAGTGTGATTATGATCACAATCTTACCGAAATAACAGTAGACACCCTTACCGCCATAACAGTGGACAGAAACTCTGCAATAACATAGGAAACCCTTACTACAATAACAGTGGACAGAAATACTGCAATAACACAGGAAACCCTTACTACAATAACAGTGGACAGAAATACTGCAATAACACAGGAAAACCTTACTACAATAACAGTGGACACAAATACTGCAATGACAGTTGGCAGCAGCACCGCAATAACAGTAAACAGATCCAACGCTATATAACGCGACAACGTTACCGCAATAACAGTAAACGGATCCAACGCTATAACGGGACAACGTTACTGCAACAACAGTGGACAGTTAAACCGCAATAACAGAGGATGCCCTTACCGCAATAAGAGTGGACATCACTTCTGCAATAACAGAGGACTGCACCACAGCAGTGATTAACAGATCACACCCTTACAGTAATATTATTGGAAAGTAACACCGCAACTATCGTAGATACTTATATCCGTAATAGCAGTGGACGTTCGTACCGCAATAACATTAGAGAATACCGCAATGACTGTGAACACTCATTCCTCAATGACAGTGAACACCGATGCCACACTTACTGTGAACATCCTTTTTTCTAATCTACATTTTTTTATATTTCAAAACTCTTTGAACAATTCTTAAAATATCTTTAAACAATTCTAAAAATATTTTTGAAAATTTCTAAAAAGTATCACTGCAATAAAGGAAAAAACGATTCACAGAATTGAAAGTTTCGAGAGTCATGGTAATATATAAAAAATATAAAATATTGTCTATAGAAATGGAAATTCCAATAATCATTTCACAATATCTAATTATAGAAGTGTATGTTAAAAGGTATAAAAAAAAATAAAAGTCGCACCCTCATTTAAGGAAGAATTTTAGAAACAATAGAAATGTTTCCCGTAATATAAATGCGGGCAATATAAATAACCACTTTAAAACAAATAGTTTATATATTCGTTTTTATTTGTTTTTCAACAAAGGTTAACGATGTTCTTTGATAAATGAAAATTCATTTAACATTATTTAAGCTTGAACAAAATGTTTATGTGGTGAACATAAGACGGTAATGACATAATTTTGTACAATGATATCACAAACTTAACAGTCTTTTTGATAATGTTCAATTTCAAAGTCACTAGCTTCGTTATTATTTTGTACTTGTTATGTTATACACCAGTATTGATCCTATGAAGTTATTTAGTTTTTATATGTTTTATGTGTCGTTTGGTTGCTGTACGATTGACATTGACCAGTATTGATCCTATGGGTTACTGCACGATTGACGTTGAATATTCTTCTGTTCACTTTTGTCAAGCAATTGTTCTTTATCATTCAATACTTCATACCTGATTTAGCAAGTCTTTTTCAAGACAGAGACCGTATATATAAATATATCAACATAATAATGTTACGAAATAACAGACTATCATTTTCAACCTGAGATCACCCCCGGTTTTTGATGGGCATGTGTTGCTCACTCTTTAGTATTTAAAAAATATTGTGTTTTTTTACTATTGCATGTATCTTCATTGTTTATCTTTTTTTGCCATGGAGTTGTCAGTTTGTTCTCGACTTATGAATTTGAATATTCCTTTGGCATCCTTCGATCGCCTCTCTCGTTTACAAGATATAATAGTAACATAATACAATATTGTAAATTGTTATACCTAAAGTGATCTTAGATACGAAGATTAACATTTTCTTAAAATTTTGTCCTCCAGACGCGTCCACAAAAAACGCAATGTTGTCGGTTGATTCAAAAAAGTTAAAAAGGCCAAATAAAGAACGAAGTTAAAAAAGCATTGAGTACCCCTAATTCCCAAAGTTTTTGTCATATACAGCTCAAGTTATTTACATCTGGTGTCCAAAATAAATCCTTCGTATTTCGAACAAAATAATCAAAGTTATAAAAAATTCTAAAATTCAAAGTAACTAATATAAATTACAAGAAACAAAGAAGAAGAAAGAGAATTATTTTGATTGTGCAATAAAAAAAAAGAGATGTATGTTTACTAAATCAATTTCTATCATAACATAGGAAATACATCATAACATAGGAAATACATCATAACATAGGAAATACATCATAAACTGAAGAAGCATAATAAAGTAGACAAGATGTACAATGCTATGACGTCATAATAAATCATTGGTACATTTCATTAACATAAAAAAATGCTGATTATCGAATACCTAGTTTTCTTCAGTAGTACGGGAAATTACACATTGAAAATTTAACTAAGGTTGAAAAGCAATATATTAAAAAATACAGGTTTAATTCCAATAAACACAGGTTAAATAGCAATTTACGCAAGTAAAATGTCGACAACTTTGTTTTTCAAATTCATTAGCAAAAAAAAACAGGTCAAACTTATAGAAACGGGATATCAAATCGTACGTTTTACGTTTATGCTGTTTATAAAGCCCGTACGTTTATAAACAATCCGCGTAAACTTATCGATCCTAAAATAACTTATTCTAAAAGGTTATCAATTCAACTCAACACTGTAATAAGATCTCAGAATATTACTTTTATTGGTACAGACATTAATTTTATTAAAACATAACTAAATATTATTGGTATACAAGAATAAACACTTATTCACAATTCTGTCGAGACGCACATTTTGGCATTGCACAAAATCAAATTTTTCCTTGACTGTAAATAACGACGAAATACTAAATCGATTGGGAGTGTACAGATTGAAACCTAAGTCTTGGTCACATGACTTTTTAGTCTTGTTTTTGGCTTTGAATTAGATTTAAATAGCTGCGAGTAATCTCAAATTGAAACATTTGTGTTTTAAGACTCTGTGTGTGTTACCCCACTTTCCAATTTTAATGGAGGCTGTGGTGCCCTTAAACTGTGTTAACACGTCACATCGTGTATGTACCGTCTCAAGGCAGATTCCTGTAACTAAATGGTCGTTTGCTGTTGCATATCATATTTGTGTTTGGTTAAATATTTTGTCCATCAATCAGGCCATGATCATTCTCATTTGAATTGGTTAACATTTGTTATGTCGGACATTTCATAGCTTGCTATGCGATATTCGTTTAGCTCATTGTCGAAGGCCGTACGATAACCTACACTTTCTAAAATCTACTTCATTTGGTTTTTGGCTTTTAGCTTCCTCAAACCAACAACACAGGCCACCAAAACTTAACGTAAATAACTGAAAGAGGCATTAATCTAGAACAAATAAACAAATCGACACAATAACAGAAGATGCTCGCATTATTTTATTCCTTCATCCGATCACGTGTTTGTACGTCATGTACTGTCATGTTCAATCTTTTTTTTTTGTTTATCAATCAGGCCATGATCATTCTCATTTGAATTGGTTAACATTTGTTATGTCGGACATTTCATAGCTTGCTATGCGATATTCGTTTAGCTCATTGTCGAAGGCCGTACGATAACCTACACTTTCTAAAATCTACTTCATTTGGTTTTTGGCTTTTAGCTTCCTCAACCCAACAACACAGGCCACCAAAACTTAACGTAAATAACTGAAAGAGGCATTAATCTAGAACAAATAAACAAATCGACACAATAACAGAAGATGCTCGCATTATTTTATTCCTTCATCCGATCACGTGTTTGTACGTCATGTACTGTCATGTTCAATCTTTTTTTTTGTTTATCAATAATTTGAATTTGAACAAGACCATATTGTATGTGAGGCCATTGACATTATAAAATATATTTAATTCAAAATATTTCTTTTGGTAATTAGATAGGATATAAAAGTTCAATGTTCTTTAAAAACAACAGAATCCGTTTTAAAGAATCCGAAATTATAATTAAAAAGTAATAACTATAGAAAATAGTGTTTATCAATTTATTAAATTTCCATAACCAAATGTAAAAGAAAATCTAACAGAATAATAAATATATTCAGTTATAACTTTCCATTGGAAAAAAAAACCCTCTCAGCCACATCCCCGAACAAAACAAAAACCAACAACAAGAAACCAACAAAAAATGGCAATCATCTTTTATGAAAAAGACTTCAAAGCTTTGAGCATTCATGATGAAGTTAAATCTAGAGAGGCGCTTCGGACGCATGACAATAATAGTGTTTGTTTTCAGTTTTTAAAAGGCTATATTGAAAATATGTAGAATCCGACATAAACGCGAACCTCTTCCCGGAAAGAAAAATTTAAATCTCCTTTCTTGAAAAGAATACTATTAATAAATTAAAAACCAATTGTTCAGAGAACAATTGAAGGTCTTTCCACTTCTTACGATTCATTTTGATATGAAAATATAAAATTCGGTTGAAAGTGTCATATGTACAGTGTCAATGATACCTTAATGTACGCTGATTCCAATCAAACTTTACGTGTTACGACATGTCGGAACTAACAATTTAGTAAAAATAATTTGTCGATATCTTATACGGTTTTTGGAAAGAAGTGAAAATAAGCCAAAATCAAAATTTAGAACAACCTTTGACATTATCCTTATTTTCATTTTTTTGGACCAAGGACCTCAAATCAAGAGACCCGAAGTCTCTATCACTTATGGTTTACCAGTTAGAAATGCATATCACTTATATCAAATGCATAAGGGGGAATAACTCTCATATGGAGTCTCCGGATAGCTTCGATCCAAATGGTCATCCTAATCCTGAAGATGTAACGAGCAATTTGTCGTAAACTTTTACGGTTGCGAAGGAGTAGTGGCCACAAGAAAAACAGTGTTTGGGGAGATAACTCTTACAACGTAAAGTGTTCGGTTAAGCAATGTTAGTTTCAAAAGCGTATAAACTGTACGATATCATATTCCAAATATATAAGCGACATCTTATAAAACAAGAACACAACGAAAGAAAAAAATTAGGCGGAAGAAAAAAAAAAATCAGAACAAAATCAAAAGGTATTAATTTCCACGGAAAAGTGGAAAGACCTTACAAGTGCCTGTTGCATCTTTACACAGAATTTAAAGAATCCTAATCTGAAATTTATCAGTACTTGATTTTGCTTACGTGAGTAGGATCCTTATCATAACGTTGTATTTCTTCATATTGTGGCTCCTTGTTATTGTAAAATACATCAGATCCGTAATCCATGCTAGGATTTTCTTTTCCATTATTAGTACAGTTGACCTCCTCCTCCTCCTTTACAAATGTTTGATAGCATATGTTTATAAAATTAGTGTATGGTCAGTTTGTAGAATTTTAGCACATGTATTACAACAGAATGCATTGAGTGTGTAGGTAAAGGTAGAATCTTTGGTTAGCTTGCTTGTTAGCTGAACCGAGAAGTCATTATTAGGTCAGGTATACTACCCTTCTTTCATAGTAGTCTAGTCCTACAGACATATATGTTGGTTATCTGTAGTTTTCCCAACCTAATAATGACTTCACGGTTCAGCTAGCAAGCGATCTAACCAAAGATATTTACCTTTACCTACACACTCAATGCATTCTGCTGTAATTGATTTTCTTACAACTGGATATAGTAAATGTAACAAATTAACTGTGTTCTGATAAATCATTTAATTTTACAAATAGTTTTTTAGTCAATTGATAGGTTTAAAACGTTAACAGATCTTATAGATAAAAGTTGTTCTTGTTTAGAAAATACATAAATTAATTCAATGTACATGTCACAACGCCGGAAATTGAATTTACTAAAATTATATCATAATTCAAATATTATTCAATATATTTAATGTTACCTGTGATTCAAAATACGATATAATACGTCTAGATCTTTTACAATATGCCACAAAACACACAACACATGATACGAAGAAGCAGACGATACCAATAACGCCAAAAACAAAAGCTCCAAGTCCACAAATAACAGGGTTGCAGAAGTCATCTAAGGCAGTCGAGTTATTAGTCAACATATTCGATTGCGTGTCGTTAAACGTTTTCTGGTTCACATATGTATGATTTCTATCCACCATCACACAACTAATAAAAGCATATTATAAATAGACGAATTTTCAAAACAACAACCTGTGCATTTATATCATTTCAAATAGATCTTTACAGTCTTTGTTTATATTTGTAAAATACTTAAAATGAATATTCCCCTTTTCATACCAGCATACAAACAATTGATCTAAATATAAACGATGGATTTTTCCAAAAACCAAATTTCCATATAATTTTACATATATAACGTTGTGTTTATATATTAAAAACCACAATTTTTCTGAAGTGGTTTATTTTCAAGGATACCATTAACGTTTGATGTGAATTATTTTATTTCCGTGTTTGTGTATCAATTGTTTTCAAGGTTCATTTCGTGAGTTTTACTTAAACATTCACGTTGTATATGTTTTTTTGTTTGTTTTTTTGTTTGTTTTTTTGTTTGTTTTTTTCATTCTTCAAGTTAATAGTCAGCTCGACCATGCTTTCAATGAAAAGGATTCAATGAATTTTGTACATGTATCACTGATTTCCTTGCAGTACACTTTACATTTATGTCCCTTGGCTGCGAGAAATATGAAGATTTAATCACTGAAAAAAATCCATATTATCCGAGCCCATCGCCCGAGGAAAATATAACCTTTCTCGTGTGAATATTTTGTTAATATCTCCCTTAGCTAAGGCAAATGTATGTTTATTCCACTGATTATACCTTTTTCCCTTCCTTAACATAGAATTCTAATGTACAGTTATCACATTTAGTAAAGGGGCCTCGGTGGCCGAGTGGTCTAAGTAGTTACTACTGTAATCACTAGCCATTCAACACTGAGGTTGTTAGTTGGAACCCCGCTCGTGCTGGTGCACTCGACTCCAATCCTAATTGACTAGGATTGTCAGTTTTCCTATCGAAGGTCGGTGGTTTTCTCCGGGCACTCCGGCTTCCTCCAAAAATAAAAACTTGCCGCCACGAAATAGCCCAAAAGCGGTGCTTAAAAGTGGCGTTAAAACACTAAAAATCAAATCAAAATCAAATCACATTAAATAATTCACCACGACATATATATTGGTAAACAATACAGATTAAAAGTTAATTATTTCTTCTATGAAAAAAATGTTTTTTATGTTTTGTTTTTACGTCTGTGTAGTATGTTCAATCTTGAATTTTTTCAAATATTTGAATTGTATTTAATCTTTTGTTAAGCTCAACAATCTTTATACCAATGGTTATTGTTCGTAGAAAATTTCCAATCTTGAAGTTCAAAGGTCAAGGTTAAAAATAAATATAAAATATAATAATTCATATGGCTTCTGTATTTACTTGCCTTCTTGATATTTCAAAACATATTACATGTTCTCAACAGTGGATCAGATAATGCCAAATGAAAGACAAAAGATTAAAATGGCTTTGTGTCAGTTGTTGAAAGATCAAGGTAAGTTACCAAGGTTAACAGTACGAATTCATGTTAAATATTACAAAACTGGTTCGTCTCCACCGATATCCTTGTGAGCAATGGATTATAAATGTATTAAAGATATTTCTACAAACGAAAAAAAAAGATGTGAATAATATTAGCATGTGAAGCTTACCTTTCAAAAGCACCCGAGGACCTATGGTAATATGACATATAAGGTAAATAGTTTAAAGGTCAAGGTCAATGTAATGTAGCAGTTTTAATCTTAATAAATAAAATGTTGAAAATAGACAAAAATATGACTTGAGGGTATAAAACCTGATTATGTTTATCTTTATTTGGTTTATAGCAAACATGTGATACAATATGTGAATTTCTTTTCAAATCAAAGTTAGGGCCAACATCTTTTAAGGTCTTGATCGATCACAAGCTAAAGTAATATACTATACACTGTCCATTATCTTTTGTTTGATACATCTTTCATTCTTTTCCTCTTCAGCAGATCTGTAATCTTCAGGGGGTTAGTCTTTCAATCTTTCAATGGCAACCTTAAACTATGCTGCGTACGAGTACTGACTACCACATGTATCTATGCACGTGTATACATGTTTGATTATTGTTGGACTGCATCTTAACCTTTGTCACTGTATCCTAGGAGATAAAATGCATATAGCATATATCTATAAAATGTAAAAAATAAATGTCTTAATGTCTATTTGATGTTGTTTTATAAAGTCATATTTGCCTCAACTGCTTGTGCTAATTAGCAAAAACAATGCCATTTCCATTTTGTTTTAACAGGTCTTATAATAAAACGATTCAGATATTTTGTTATATTTGCAGCTTTTCACATGTGGCCATTTAGAGCTTTAAAATGAAGGTATACAGTATAAACAAAGACGGACTGTTGTGGCTTTCTCTTTCTCTACTCTTTGGATTTGGTGTAAGATTTGTTGTCTTACTCAATGACGACTACCCCATATTATTGTAATTAAACTAACCTGCACTAAAAAGGGTGATTGAACTTTTATTTTTATTCAAATGGTATTGAAATATGAACACTACATGAAGAAATTTTTAAAACTTGAAGAGCCTCTTTGGTATTTATATGAATTTGAACTCCCACATCTGTCAGCTCCTTTCTCATCACTAAAATCTACATTTTTCGTATGTGCTATCTGAATAAGATAACTTTATGACAGTAACTATTTTTTCTAATTGTCCTCGGTATTTGATTTCATATAGTTATGTTTTACTATTGGTATTTTTTTTTTGATGAATTACTTGATTGGCTGCATATGACAGGACCTTCTTATCATCCAGAGCTACTTAGTTAACCATTGGCCTTGGTTTCAAGAAGGACTGAGTTATTTAATTTTTAGTGTTCTGTTTTATGCTTTCTTTTTTCAGATAAAGAATCAAATCTACCATAAAGGCCTAATGAAATAATACTCATGTTTCTGCTAACATGCTGAAAAAGTGATGGTAAGTATGTAGGTAATGTGAGACTCCCGCGTTTGCACCTCTTTTGACCTTCATTTATTTATAAGCAACAGACAAACATTTCCATCCTGTACTTATTTTGTAGATGTATCCTTATTAACTGCATATTTCCATACATTTTATTTAAATTCATGATATTGAATCATAAACAAGAGGCCCCAACAGCCTGAATTGCTCAAAGGGTAAAAAATATATACTATTTTGATATTAATTTTTCCCTTTATTGCAAACAGTTATGTTTGCTTATTTGTAGATATTTTTGTAGGTCTTGTTATGGTGACCCTTTCCTGTAAATAGTTTATAGGTCTATCTATTAAAGTTGTTGAGATTTAAAAAAATATTCAATGTCAATAAATTCTATAACTATTGAGTAGTCTGACAATTTGGTAATGTAAAACTACTTCTAAATTCCATTTTTGTTATTTTTTTGTTTTTTAAAGTTTATCTTTAACTCCTATCATGCCTACAGTTTTCGACAAAAATGAAAAAAAAAAAAAGAAAGAATGGATGAAAATTATCATTCAGGGAGTTTATTGAGTTAAACATTTTTCTATTGTACTATTGTTTTTTTATGCAACATTGGTGCAATTGGGTAGTTAGATCAATTTGAGTACAGTTACGCTGGGCAAATATATTTTTTTTCTAATCTTTTTGACTAGTTTTAACAGTGGAAACAGTCTGACTTAAAATGCTGCTTGTTTAAAAAAAACCAAAAAACTTTAAGGTAGGCAAGATAAGGCCTAAGTGACAACCTGTCTAATTTCTTGTCATGTACCCTTATCATATTGTTGAAATCTCATATACCTCCATTTAAAGGTCACATCTAAAATTTTTATTTTATTGTCCGGAAGAAAATTTATAAACATATGAGCAGGTGTTTCAAATATTGGATGTCAGTGGTATTTTGTCCGGCCCCCGCTCGACGCGTTGCAGGAGACATAGAAAAACCGGGCACCCGTCCGTCCGGTCTTGTTAGCGCTCTCACGTGTACAATTCTTGCCAGATTTTTATAAAACTTATATCATAGGTTTGTATCAGCAATGTCTCGGACAAGTTCGAAAATCAGGGCAAATCAAATATTTTTCAAAGTGTTGTGTCCCTTGAAAATATCCATTATATGACAAATTTCATTGTAAGTGCTCTCCTGTGTACAATTCCTCCCAGAATTTTAAGAAACTTATATCATAGGTTTATATCTTCAATGTGTCGAACAAGTTTGAAATCAGTGTCGATCTTTTTTTTTTAAAAAGAGTTATGCCCCTTGGAAATATTAATTATATGGAAAATTGCATTGATAGCACTCTCATGTGAACAATTCTTGCCAGATTTTTATCAAATTTATATCAAAGGTTTATATAAAAAATGTCCTAAACATGTTCGAAAATCAGTGCCGATCAAATATTTTTTTGTAGGAGTATAAAGTGCCCCTTTGAATTATTAATTATATTGGAAATTGCATTGCATTTGCTCTCAAGTCATCGTTTCTCTAAGAAATTAGTAAAAAGTTTAAAAAAACAAAAAGCTTCAGTGTTTCTGTAGTTCATGATAAGCCCGTTTTTTTCAGCTGCTTTTCAATGAATAAAGTTCCATAACTTCTCAATGTCATATCAGAAATTGATAAGAAAACTAAAGGGAGCCTAACTTAATAGATATAAATCAATCACCAAAGTTTCATGAAAACTGCTCAAAGCATTTTTGAGATATTGCCCGAAAAATAGAAAATCCCCCCTTTTAGGAAGAAAATCCCATAACTCAGAAACGTAAAATCTAAATGTTATATAAATTAAAAGGAAGTTTACATTAATAGATATAAACATTCACTAAAGTTTCATGGAAATTGGTAAAATAAGCGTATAAGAACGATACAACCATGTTCCCAGTTTATCGGTTGTAACATGTAAAAAGCAAACCTGTATATATTTAGGTATCCTTTGGCCTTATAATACTAACTAGAATACTTTTGAACGGTAATAGTGTTGCCTTAAAAAACTACCAACAATATAAAATGCTATATAATATCCTGTATGAAAATATTTCACACTACCTTAGACAATGATAATAATATTGTAGGGTCTGCATCAAGAACTTATTTTTATCACCGGAACTTTATCAAGTTCATCTGTTATGCCTAATTACAAGAGATTTCTGTAGTTTGAAAAGATAACATTTTAAAATTTTACAAGCACCTAAATTTTATCAATTTTATCTGATATGCCTAATGACAAGAGTTTTCTGTAGTTTGAAA